CATAGATCTTGAAAGAGATTATAAGCATCTCTAGCACAAGGGCGAAGTGGAATGTTGCCTTTTCCCTTAATAGATATTACAGTCGATGTGGGTTGTATTGATCCTTCCGACACAATTAATTACAAGCGTGTATCAATAATGATAACAAACTTTATTCAGATAAATTAAAATTAAAGGAATAGAAAACAAATATATATATACCATTTTTATCGTTTATTTCATCTTCCTCTTGAACTTTTTCAAAAATATTGATCACCAATTGGCGCAAGGTAGCAGCAGCAGTGTTATTGACAACCAAAACTTTTGAATCTTGGAGTCGAAAACAAATTAGTAAAGCCTACAAAAATCAAATTTAAAAATCGGCAAAACAATTAACATTTATAATACTTAAATATTTGCAATAGAATATATGAATAGAAGATTAGTCACCTCAGCCAGAAGGTCTCCGTGCAACGCTTTATAATTACTCAACAATGGAGGGATGGTCTGCAAAATCTTGAGCTGAATTTCAACGCTTTGCGATAAAACGTCATTAAGGGTCTTGAGAATTGTTTTTACAGAAGACTAATAAAAGTACAGCATTCTAAATCAAAGAAGTTCTATTGGTAATAATGATTACAATACAGTACCCTAAAAAGTGACAAGACATGCTCTCACCTCAGGAACAGCGTGATGGGATATTAATTTATGAAGACAACCTATAGATATAGTGATCAATTTAACGTGTTTTGTTTCGCAAGCAAGCAGAAATGGACGCAAAAAATCAGCGTTTTTTGCTAGTTCTATTTTTTTTTTTAAAAAAAAAAGAAATTATTAATAAATTTGCCATGTTTATACATTACATTTAGCACTGTATGAAATTGGATGAATAAATGCACATTACCTTGCGGTAAATCAACCCCAGGCTTAAGCGTTTTCAAAATTTTAACCGATCTTTCTGCAGCCTTTTACAATTGAAACGAAATTGAGTTAAGTATGCTTTTGCAAGCAGCAAGGAATTTACAAAAAAAAATTACTTCTTTGATTTCTGGATTTCTACGTTTAGATTCGCCAGCGAGAGCTAAGAGCTCTGTATTGAGTGAACTAGTTAGCCCACTCATTTTCGTGAAATGATTTGTTTAAAAGATGACCAAAGAAAGCTGCAAACGCCAGAGACGCTGATCTCTTAATCGAATAAGATAATGCAAAATTTTAAAGAATGATCCTATATAGATTCAGGAACTCTATAATCGTGATAAATTAATCACGAAAAATAAAATGCAATTCTAAGTGTAAAGATGATAATTATGGGGTTATGCGATAAGAAAAAAGACGGCTTTAATGTCACACATTAAGCACGTGAGAATTATTATACAAGTGTAATTCCCTAAAAGTACAACTCTACCCTGATCGAAACAATTGCCGCCTTGATGAAAAGCTACATCTTAACCTGTATTTAGCTTAATTAAGTATAGCCTGCTTTAAATATAATACGACAGGGTGAAACGATTAGGGATGTTAATCGGTCCTTGGGGATCGAGTCCTAACCGATCCTGGCAGGTCCTTTCAAGGCTCGGTCTTTAAGTCACATGAAAACTACATTCCATTCTAAATGTATTATGTTGTCATGTGATTTAAGGATTTAAGTCTTAGAAAGTCCTAGGACCGGACTCGTAAATTAACATCCCTAGAAACGATTACCCAGGGCGGCCCTAATGTTGTTAGTCAAATTGGTTTTGCTATGTCAAAATTTGTCTAAATTAAATTGTCTAAATGTCTAAATGTCTAAATTTATTTTTTAATAGTAATTTTTTAAAAAATGGCAAAGTCGAAATTGCCTAAATTCAATTTGCCTAAATGTCTAAATGTCTAAATAATTTCGACTAACAACATTAGGCGGCCCCCGAAATTCATATGTCCACTGCCACAGCACTTCTAAATTGTATAACGATAATACTCTGCGTAAAAGTATACGTATCATGCAGATCGACCAAAATTTAGGGTCGGAATTGATCAATTTCTCCCAAAATCACCCAAAATTTTACTAATGAAATGGTAGCCTACGTACTAAGTAAAATAATTTGGCTGTAGTATAATTGGATTGTATTATTTCTTAATGCCGGCCTAGCTCCGGGCCCTAAATTTTGGTCGATTTATTGAATTTTGGTTGCTATCCTACAGTACCCACAAGATCAATACCATGTTCTATCAATTATTACTATATATACGAACAAAAGTAACAGTACGTACTGAATGGCCATATTACTTTATAACCAGATCTGCAAGAATATTATTTATATGATATAGTGATGGTACCCGATCGAAAAATGCTACCCGGTTATCTGACGGGTATACTCGGCGGGTTACCCCTGGTGATAAAATATACCCGGGTAAGGTTAATTAAATATTTTTACTTTACTAGATAGCTGCGCGACGTTTATCGCGCAAAACCAGGAACAGAAAACCTAAAAAAAGAAAACAGCTAGATAAAATTTAGGAATTTGTGCCTAAACGATTACTTATCCTTCAACTGATTACTTTTAATCAATCAATTATGCTGATTTTCATCGCGTCAAAAAAAAAAAAAATAATAATATTTAATCAAATATAAAGACCAAAATTACTCGAGTCGAAACCTGACTTGTTGAATCTACAAATTTCAGCACCAACCGTCTCAATATTATTAGCACAGTTAAATAACACTTTCATATTGTTAACCATTTTAAACAAAAAAAAAGAATCAATTTTTCCAAGTCATTAACACTAAATCACAACGTTTACATTAAAATCTGTTGACGCATTTTTGGTGCAGTCGTGTTTACGTTAGGGATGTAGCCCAAACTATTTGGAACGACCCAAACCATGCGACAATTAGGATCACATAGGTATTTACTAGGTTTATACTTACTGTCAAAACTATGTGATACTAATTGTCACATAATTTGGGTCGTCCCAAATAGTTTGGGCTACATCTCTAGTTTACGTCAATAACGATAATAAAATATGTTTCTGATAATATAGATCGTTTTTGATTGTTTGATCAACAATGAGTTCTAGAGATTTACAAATTTAGCGTGAATACTATGTACAAATAATTTTTTTAAAGTTACAATTAGGTCTACGATAAATATGTAAACCCGGGTCTATCTAGGGCTGTCGTTTCTAGCTTCATATTGATAACAACCTTTGACATAAAGATAAATCATTCTATTAGTATTCCAATTTTGATATACAGTATTTCGTAAAGAAATGCAGGTTTGTAAGTTTATTCACTAAAACACACTAATTTCAGAATTTAAACTGGATAACAGATTAGTGCATATCTATTACAGCTGCAAATTAATCTTGTGCTTGGTAAGTTACCGATAGGTTTAAACTCAACATAGTTTTATAATGCCTTACAATTTAACTGATTCAAAAATTAATTAAAGAACTTGAAATCATGGTTTTTTACCTGAAAAAGTAGAATGCCTTTCAAGAAAGCCTTAGAAATTAAGACTTTAGCTTCATGAAATTCAGTCTATTAGTTTAAATTAATAAAAAAAAACCTAACCGCCCGACCAGAATTTCTCAAGTAATAAAAATAATATTACATTTGTAAACTATATTAACCTATGTCAACGTAAAAAGAAAAATCTGAACCTTGATCATATTGGTGTAATTCATATAAAAAACTAAGTGTTAGCTTATCTCTGAATGAAATATCGATTAAATCAATACAAAACTTGAATATAAACAAATTAAATAAGTGTTAGCTTATCTTTGAATAATTCGATTAATCAATATAAAGAAATTGAATAAGGAATGAATGAATAATTTATTTAAATTATCTGCATTGATTAATATCAATGCAAATAAATAAGATATATTAATTGCAATAAGATAAATCTTAATAGCTTATTACTACAATTATTAAATACTTATATGCATCAATAAGGTTGTGGGCACTAATATCATATATATATAAATAATCTTGTATATAAGGAACTTTTCATTCTTATCTTTGATAAGCAGTGACTATCAGCTTAGTAAAAAGTCCTATGCAAATTTGAATCAGATCACTAATATTTATATTTCTTTTTTTTTTTTTTTTTTTTTTTTTTTTTATGCCATAGTTTAAACTTTTTTTTAAAAATAAAAAAAAAATTTTTATTAAAAATTTTTATAATTAATTT